TCCCCCCCCCCCCCCCCCCCCCCCCCCCCCCCCCCCCCCCCCCCCCCCCCCCCCTCTCTCTCTCTCTCTCTCTCTCGCTCTCCTGCCTTCCTTCCCTCTCCACTTCGCCCACTGAAGCCGTCAGGCCCCGCCCTTTCCCCGGACCGTCTTCTGGCTCAGCCCTCAAGCAGGGCATCCGGCCATCTCGTCCTGTGGCCCTCCTTGGTAGGATACATGTTTCCCTTGGCGATCGGCCACTGAGAAGCCGAGTAGATTCATCAAGCCATTCTTCCGCATGCCTCTCAGCGTGGGTCTCCCCCTGTGCTGATTTGAATAGCCCAGACCCCCCTCCCCCCTCTAACTCTCGACAGTTCAGGGACGTCGATTTCATGTAGATTGCCAGGAGGTTGCCTTTGAGGCGTCCAGCGCCCAAGAGCCCCGCTGTCAGCTGAGTGCCCCACTGAGTGCCACATTGAGTACCACAAAGGTGTCCCTCAGGCCGACTTGGCGACACCTCAGCCCAAAATACAACAATCCCTCCCATACACCAAGAGCATCCTCACAATGTCCACCCTCCTTCCGAAAGACCCCCCACTCTTGAGTCGGTTCCGTGCCCGCTACGCCCCCCTCCCCCCGCCCCAGTTTCACAAGGTACGATGTCTTTTGTCCCACCCGATCGGACATTCGCCCCTCAGAGTGACGCGGCTCTCCACCTTTCCTCACTTCTGGATGCTTGTTGGCGTTGGCTGCACAGCCTGCATCAACTGGCTCTTGCTAGGCCGCCGCCCGCCCCCCCCCCCCCCTACTCTGTGCTGCTCATGTGCCCGGCCAGTTGTGCGCGAATGCAGGGCGTTCTCCAAAACCCACAGTTATTCTCCCGTACCCCTCGGCATCTCGAATACTCGTTCCCACATGGGCTCCTATTGGCTCGATGTCCCATGGCCCTCTCTGCCAAAAGTGCGCGCCAATGCTCGGATCTCTTACTGGTCCGACGTTCCGAGACCCCCGCCCCCCCCCCCCCGGAGACAAAGAGCCCCTCCTCAGCTTGGTCTTCGAGCGAGCTTTCCTGTGCTTTATGCTGGTAAATTGCAAAAGCCGAATAGTTCTCAACATCCCTCTCTTCTCCAGTTAAAGCCGTTCCGATTGAGACTGCCGAGGCCAATCCACCCCCGGCCACATGTGTCAGTCACATCCCGAACCATGGACAGGGATCTATTTCCCCTTCTTCATGCAGGTCCTAAGGCAGCACGAAGCGCTTCCTCATGTCGAGCGGTCCCTTTCGATTGGTTCATCAACGCCCCTCCCACGCGGCCTTTTCTCCAACACACTAAACGATCTTTTGCCTGGAGACTCGGACCGAATGTCGATCGGTGATGTCCAGAGCTCGCCGCGGATCACATGACCTCGATGGAGATTCCACAAATGTCATAACGTGACGGAAATGCCCTTGGGCCAATCAAATCAGGGGTTGGATCGAATAATCGTCCAATTCCGCCAAATGCCCCGATATTTTCGAGGACCCAGTCCAATTCATGCGAGATCACGATTATTGCCACATGCCCAGACATTTATTGGGACCCCGATCGCATGGGTCTCTCTGGGTGGTTTACCTGCTGTTCGGCTGCATGGCGACCGTATGACCAGGACCTGCTGTGCATCCCTGAGCTGGTGTAAGTGTGTGTAAATGTGCGTGTGTGTGCGTGTGTGTGTGTGTGAGTGCGTGTGTGCATGCGTGTCGTGCACTGTGGCCCGGTCAGTCGTTCGGTCCTGGCCCGCCCACCAGCCCCGTCCCCCGCCCCCCCGGAAGTTCGGCACGTTTCCCGAAGGCGCGGCTCATGTGGCTGGGATCGTGCCCTATTTCCCGACTGGCCACGGACCCCCTTTGGCGATCACCCTTTCCTGAGAGGGGGGAGACCGGCGGGAGGGACCTGCGTGTGCCCGGGAGAGGGCCCCTCCCTGTGCCCAGCCGCCCCCTGGTGCTCCTCAACTGGCCATTATGTAATGGTCCGACTCCGGCCCCTGGGCCCAAGGGCCGCCGCCCTTCACCGCCATCCTCCGAGGATCCCTTCCACAGTGCCTACCTCCCTCTCGCCCCTTCCGCCCCCCCCCCCCCCCCCCCGCTGCACCTCTCTTTACTTGTGAACACACACACACACACACACGATGACTACCGCTGCCCAGGTCCCCCCCGCCAGCGTCACCCAGGCCCCTGTGGCCGCTGCTCCTGAGAAGAAGCTGAAGCCCTGCTGCGCTTGCCCCGACACCAAGGTCCGTCCCTCATGTTCCTCCGCGCTGGTGAGTGTGCCCCCTTCGCTGGTCATCAGATGTTGACTAATTTGCCCTTGGCCCGTGCCCAACCTGCAGAAGGTCCGCGACCTCTGTGCCCTCGAGAATGGCCCGGACTCGCCCCTGTGCAACGACGTCATTGAGGCCCACAAGGCCTGCATGCGCCTGGCTGGCTTCAACGTCTAGGAGCACCCTCGGTCCATCCCCGACTCCCTGCGGCCTTTCTCCCTCCCTCTCCCCCCTTTCTCAGCATCCGTGCGCACATTCAGCATGTCTACCATGTTGGCATATAGAAGCACAGCGGCGTTCTCCTCCTCCCCCTCCCTCCTAGGCCAGGAGATCATCTTTTCTTTCCCGCCCCCTCCCGGCCCCCTGGAGAGCACGCTCCCTCCTGGCCCATCCATCCGCGCGCATATCCATATATATATATATTTATATATATTTGTGTGTGTATGTATGTGTGTGCATGTGCCCCACCTTTCCCTGTTAATATCGAAATACCAAACCTCCCTCCCTTTCGTTTGAGTTTGTATTGTCCGTGGGTCAGTTGCCCCCTTGTCTCCCCTCAGACAAGAGAGGGGGAGAATCTGGTCGGGGAGGGGGAAGGAGGCAATCAGGCTGGCTAATCATCTCGATAGTCGTCAGTCGGATTCTTGACCATGCCCATGGCCTCCAGCCGGGTCATCATGTTGGATAGCTCCTCCATCTCAGCCGTAGACATTGGAGCCCGCGCGGGTCGGGGAGTTTCGCTGCGCGAAGTGCCACTTACATGATCAATGACGTCCAGCTGTGTGTGTGTGTGTGTGTGTGTGTGTGCGTGCGTGTGCACATGGACGAGGAGAAAGCACGACGTATGGTCAGTCCTTTTCATGAAAAAAAGACGTCAAGGCACAGCAAAGCATGATGCCCCAGCTATGTGTGTGTGTGTGTGTGTGTGTGTGTCTGTGTGCTGCTCGGATTTGGTAGATGACACGCACAATTTCCTCATCAGGCAAGACCTCAGCCGCGAAGTCCAACCCCTTGGCATACAGACGCAGAGGCCGGTCGCCAAACTGAATTGGCTCCAGATCATCCTCCTCGTCACTTGCATCCTCTGGGATCAGGGCCTTATTGGCCAGCATGCCGGCCGCATTGCCATGGCCGAAGTGCGCGACCACCGCTTTCGCTGCGTGCATTTCCGGCGGATCCCCGCCATCCGTCGATCATGGCCGTTCATGGACACAAAGGATGTGCCAGCGTGCATGGTTTAGCAGGCAAGATGACGCCAGGGGATGGGCCAAAAAAAAAAAGAAGGGAAGGGGGAATGCAGGGGAGGCAGAATAACGCACCGCTCTGGCAGCAAAGAACCCAAATGAACTCAAAGGTGAGGTTCATCAGGGAGCGCGTGGAGGAGTCGATGCCTGTGAGGGTCAAAATCCGAGCCAGTGACCCGCGAAGGGTCTGCTGCTTCTCGGGCTTCACTGCCCTCGAGCTGGCGATGGAGCATATCACGAAGCATCACGGGGAGGAGAGAGAGAGAGAGAGAGAGTGTGTGTGCGTGCGTGTATGTGTGTGTTAGGCATGGGGACGCCCTGGGAAGGCTGGCCTGGGACAGATGGTAGGTGGCCAATGGGGGGAGGGGAGGAGAGCGAAATTGGCGCACCTATCCAGTGGCAGAATCCATTTCCGACGAAGGGTACGACAAACGCCATCTGAAACACGGCACACGCTGGTCACCAGGGCCATGGCGATGCCGGCTTCCACAAGGTCAACGTCATTGGCCGGCATCGACTCCGGCGAGCAGGGCACTGCAAGCCCGGCCACGGCCAGCCGGTGAGCCAAGCCAGCAGCCAGCACCTCACTCAGCAGATCCGTCATGTCTTGACCGATCCCGAGGAAGTCCCTGCGAGCGGCCGGGTCACGGGCCTCAGCATCAAGCCGGCTCAAGCCAAGGGCCGCGGCCTGCGCCGGGGCCAGTCCCAATGTCTCCGACGGAGGGGCTTGCAGCACCCGACGGGCAAATGGCCGCGAGGGGAGCAGCAACAGAACCAGCGCATCCAGGACGCATGAATCCAGCATGTCGGCCACCATGGGAACAGACACGAAGGCATCGATCGTCGCGGCGGTTGGGGCCGAGGCGCCGAGGCAGGGCCGGCGGAGCATAGCCGCCGCGGCGACGGCCAGACCGACCACCGAGGCCAGGGCTTGGCGGTGTGGCCGCCAGAGCTGATGCTGCTCTGGACCATTCACAAAGAAGGCCGAGCGCTCGGCGCGCAGGCGGGTGTGGTGTCTCACCAGCGTCGACGCCAGGCGCATCAAATCCCCGAGGGCGGCCCAGATGTCACTCTGGCGGTGGTCTTCCGGATGTAGCCCAGCCGACTCCTCCATCAGGAAGATGCAAGTCTGACAGGGCGGGCGGGTTAGCCCGGCACGAGACCCACACGGAAGGGCGGAAGGGCCGGCTTTGGGAAGGGACATACCTTGGACACATCATTCAGGAGGCTCATGGACCCGAGGACGTACACCGTCGACAGCAGGGTGTCAGACAGCGGGGCAACCGGGTCGGCAGCCGGGGCCGGGGGGGTTACATCCTCCGGATAGCCCCAGCGGATGGAGGCCGGGAGCTGCATCAGGGCAAGATTCAAGCAGCGTGCGACCGCCAGCAGGGTCCTCGGCCGGTTGGCCTCGGCAATGGCCCGATGGTTGGCCAGCAGCTAGTATGACACATTTCGCCGGTTAGAGAACCGGGCAAGCAGCTGGCGCGGGACAGGGGGCCGGCGGAGCCATGCGGATATTTGCAGCAGCTGTCAAGCAAGCAGGAGAACGTACAGCGCGAAGATGCCGCTCGGCGCCGGTGTGATAGAGAACCGACAGCTTCATGCGAGTTGACTCGCTGCAGCCGTGCAGCACATTGTTCAGGAAGGCCAAGGCGCCCGGGTGCCCGAGCGCCAGTGGCCGATTCATCACCGCCAGTGGGTGAACATTCGGCCGGGGAGAGGGGATCGGCACACTCACCGACCGCAGGGCCTCGGTGAACTCGCGCGAGCGGCTGAGATACCGCATGGCAGCCAGGATGGCGAGTTCTGCAGGACACATGTGAGATGGTGCACATGGGGGTGGAGGGGGACAGAAGCATGTGCGCGTGCATGTGCGCGTGTGCACACAAGCACCAAGCCCCACCGGACATAGGCCTCGACAGGGGGGGGGGACACATGGATGGGCCCTTGCGCGTCCTTCACGCTCTCCGGACATCCACCCGCCGTCCGGGCGTCTGTTTCTCGAGAGACAAAAAGGGGCAGAAGAAAAAAGCAAGAGAGAGAGAGACGCACCGTCACTTCCAAGTGGCTCGTCTTCTGCCGCCTTGTCGGGGGTCATTACATGTAGTGCCCAGAGAAGGGTGAATCCCGCGCCGCGGGCCAACTCCGGGGCACGCGGCGTGGCTTCCAGGTCGAAATCCATGTCGGCGTCAAGCTGGGCGACCAGGCGCTCGGCCAGCTGGGCGACCGCGGTCGCCGTCTTCATCGGCGAGTCGACTTCCAGCCACAGAGCCGAGGAAGACCACTTGACCGGGGGGCTTAGCGCGACGATCTTCTCCAGGGATTGGATGATGGCAGACATGGTTGGCAGGAGAGGGAGCGTGGCCGGTGTGTCCGTCTGTCGCGTATGTGCGTGTACTTGTGCGCAGGCCGGAGCCGAGGCGAAAGGGGGGGGGGGAAGGAGGAGGAGGGGGGGGGGAGGATGGGGACGAGAGCAAGACAGATGGGGAGGGGAGGCAGCTGCAAGCCAATGTTGGATGTCGCACAGCGGGGTGGTCGCCAATCAAGTGGCTGCCCCGTGCCCGGGGCGAGATCGGCCCCCCGGCTAGGCGGCCAACCAGGGTCATTGGTTTCAGAATAGAGACCACCCCCCCCCCCCCCCCCCTGTGAAGGGCGCCCCCCGGCTGGACGCGCGCGCGCGCATGTGTGTGTATATGGGTGCGTGCCCGAATCGGGCGGTGTCGGCGCGTCCACGCCTGAGGATGGCCCTGCCCCCGGCCATCTCCCCCCCCCCGGAGTGGGGATGGGTGGGGTTTGTGCGAGGTACATGTCGCCAATCGGACCAGAGCTGCACATCGATGTGTGTGGGCTCTTCTTTTTTCCCGGCCCTCCGGTCTCGTGCCCGTCCCCCTTGCCGAGGGGCGGTGCCGGGCGGCCGGTGCGCGCCGTGCGCGTGCGCCACCCCGGACGAGTGACAATAATGGCGCTGTATGGGGGGCGTATTTCAGGCCACCAAGGCCCCGGTGTGCGTCGATCTCGCCGGGCCTCGGGTGACGCAGGAGGCGGGGCACCCCTCGCCCGGTGCCCTGATGGTCCCCCTCATGGGCGGGGGCCATCTGTTGGCAGGAGCCCGTCGGCGAGCCACGGCCGCGGCCCGTGCCTCGTGCAGGGCCCCCTTCACACGTGCCTCCCTGCGGAAGGCAGAGGCGCCGGGAGAGGTCCGCTCGCGGCTGCGAGCGAGTCACCTCGTCTCCCGGAGCATCGGGCGCGGGGGCGGCGTCGAAAAGCGACAGACCCGGCGTCGTCGCAAGGCGGGGGGGGGGGGGGGGGGGGGGGGGGGGGGGGGGGGGGGGGGGGGGGGGGGGGGGGGGGGGGGGGGGGGGGGGGGGGGGGGGTGTCCTGTGGTCTGACTGGTCGCCTGGCGCGGAGGCCTGATTGCGCTTGTGCCCGGGCTCGCCAGGTAACATTCTCAAGAGGGAGGATTGGCCGCTCATGCACATGCATGACCCATCCCTCGGTGGCCCAGGCGCCCCCCCCCCCCTCTCCCCAGGTGCCCATCGACCCTGAGCCAATCCAGGGGCCAAGGGGACACGTAGCGTCCTCTCGTTCCCTCTCGAACGATCTATGTATCCTGCCGCGGGAGGCCCCTCGGGGATCGGGTCTTTTTGGGCCCATCGGTTGCTCCCCCCCCCGGCGGGGTCCCCAAGCATTGTCACCCGGGAGGGGCGGACGAGCAAGGGGAGAGGGGAGCTTGCACCCTGCCAGGAAAAGGTGGAAAAAAATAATAGACACACCGCATCCTTGCGCGCAAATATGTCCATGGTGGCCGACGGTTCCGGGGTTAAAGCGCTTAATTGAGAGTGAATTCCCACGGAGCTTCGCCCCGGAGCGGCAGAGCATGTGACCGACAGGCGCTCACACGTGAAGTGTCCTCCCCCCGGTGGCCGCCCCGATCGGTTGGGCCGCTGGCCCGATGCCCTCGGCGCTGGGCAGGGCTAGGGGCGAGGGTGAGGGGGGAGGGGGAGGGGGGGATCTTACCGGGCGCGATGGCTTCGCCCCCGCCCCCCCCCCCCCCCCCCCCCCGGGCCGGGCCGGGGACCGATCGTTCTGCCACATGCTGGGCGACTCATGCGCGCTCATTGACAACCAGACCCCTGTCGGACACTTGGGCATCGCCACCCAAGCTGAGCCGGCTGGCTCTTGCGGCAAGGCCTTGTCTTTTTTCTTCTTCCTTTGCACCGTACACCTCTCTATTCTTCCCCTCGGGGCGTTCCATTTGGAGAGTGCCGTAAGTGGATCTTTATAGGGAGGGGCATGTGTCAAACTGCCAGAGAGTGGGCCCGCGAGCCCCGGAGGATGAAGCCGCGACCGAGGCGGAGAGGGGCGTTCCCTGTGGCTGGGTGTGCGTGTGTGAAGATGCCGCCTCCTCCTTGGGGACTGGCCATGTAAATACGCGCATGGATGGGACTGCCTGTGCATGTGCATGTGTCTGTGTCTCGCTGTGTGTGTGTGTGTGTGTCTGTGTCTCGCTGTGTGTGTGTGTGTGTGTCTGTGTCTCGCTGTGTGTGTGTGTGTGTGTGTGTGTGTGTGTGTGTGTGCGCGCGTATGTATAAATGCATATTACACGTGCCATGCTGACAGTCAGCCATGCCGCGAGGGGCATACCCGCGTGCGGTTGGCCGGCTCTGTGGGAGTCCTGCCTGGCGGAGCGAGACAATCGGTTCCCCTGGCCTGCCTAGTGGCGTGGGGCCGCTCGAGTCTCCACACGACGCCTCCTGCGGAGCACCTTACCATGGGGAATCACGGAGGACAGCCAAGGAGGTTGGGCTGGCAAGCAAAAAAGAAAAAAGCAGCCCACCCCCCAAAAGCCAATGACTCCTCAGCCCCCCTCCCCCGGCGCTCTGCCTCGCCCTGGCGAGCTATTATCATGGCACATACACCTGGAAGGGGGGCGGGGGGAGCCCTGGACCCGGAGAAGCCATTCCCAGCCTCGGGGGCGGGGATAGTGCGCAATCCCCCCCCCCCCCCCCAGCCCGCCTGGTTTGTGGTGATTTTCTGGCGGCTTCCTGGTGTGGCGGTTTGTGTGGTGTGCGGGCCTTTGGGGCTGTGCTCCGTTGGGTTTGGGATGTTGGCGCAGCCCCCCCCCCCCCCCCCCCGGCACAGGTGGAGATGCTCGGTTGTGAAGCGCACTGCGCCGAGGGGGCCGGCCTCGGCGACAAACAAGGGCTTCAAGCCCCGTCGCAGCCATTGGCCAGGCCGGCGCCCCGATGTCCTCGGTGGGGCGGATTATGTGTAGTGTCAGCATCATTTGGACATTGTTCTCGAAGGACGAGGCTCGCGTATGTATGGTATGTGTGTCCATATATATATATATATGTCTGCCTGCCTGCCTGCCTGTCTGTCTGTGTGTCTGTGTATGGGGAGGCAGGGGCAAAGATGAAGGCAGACGGTGTGCGCGTGCTTGGCCGACTGTGCACCATGGGGGAAGGCCCCTTCACCGACCCTGGGGGCAGGGCCTGAGCATGGGATCCGGGGCCGGAGCATGGGCTGGTGAGCCCGGTAGGGTACCAAGGGGACCAGCCTCACGTACAGGGGCCCATGCTGACAGGAGGCCGAGCGTTCTCGAGCGTGGATTGATATATCGGCCGCTCGGGGCCTCCGTTCGTCACGGTGGGGCATATCACCCCGGGCGAGGGCGCATGTACGGGCTACATTGCGCGGCCATCTACACTACTCGTGCATCCTCGCTCGCGGGGATTTGCCCCCGTGCGCGGTGATTGTGGCTGAGAATTGTCGAGAGCGCTCGCATGGCTGACTTGCCTCTTGACAGGGTGCGATAGTACCAGCAGCGTGGTGCACCGGGAGGGGTGGTGGGATGGGGGGGTGGGGGG